AAAAAAAAACCAAAAAGAAAAAGCAAAGTACACAAGCGCGCTTAAGGCAGAAAAAATAAAATAAAATAAAATTGAGATAAAAGCAAAATGGCTGGAAATAAAAAAACGAAAATAACCGAAAATTCGGTAAACCTATTTTACACTATGTGCTTTGCAGCTTTTCGCCTCACGTTTACGCTGTGTGCAGTGGAAATAAATAAATTAATTTACAATTTTTACTATGCCAACCGTATATAGTTGTACATTTCGCAAATTTTTTGTCGCCGCAAGCATTCAGCGGCTGTCAACTGGCTGTGGCCAATGCCATTTTGTGGACTTTTGGAGGGTGTTGGCTGCCAACCGAGGAGAGTGATCCTGTCAGCCGCAAGAAAAAGCTGCTCTCACTTTGCGAAGATTTTTATGACAAGGGAATACCAAAAAAAAAAAAAAATTAAAAAATAAAAAAACCGTTATCTTCGGCTGCACCGAAGTTTTAATACCCTTCACAGGTATACTCCGTATAGCACAAAGGGTTTAAAACTATCTTTATCTTGGTTTTAATCGCTCAGTTTGTATGGCAGCATTATGCTGTGATAGTCCGATCGAGACAATTTCAGCAGGGATTGCACGGCCAATTTGGAGAATATTCCGTGCCAAATTTTATGAAGATATCTCATAAAATACAAAAATTTTCCATACAAGGACTTGGTTCCGATCGTTCAATTTGTATGGCAGCTACATAAATATATGTTGTAGTGATGCGATCCGAACAATTTCTTTGGAAATTATAGCGATGTCTTGGAAAATAATCCGTGCCAAATTTCATTAAGATATCTCGTCAAATAACAAAATCGTTTAAAAAAGTACTTTTCCCGATCGTTCAGCTTGTATGGCAGTTATTTTTCATAAAGGTCCAATATCGGCGGTTCCGACAAATGAGCAGCTTGTTAGGAAGAGTAAGACTTATGCAAAGTTGCAAATCGATATCTCATAAACTGAGGGACTTGTTCACATAAATACAGACAGACGGAAAGACTGACTGACATTCTCTTGTTTTCCTTTGCCCCAACCAAGCCCAGTGCAAGAGAGATAAAAAAAAAAAAAACAATTTGACCAATTTAAGTTATGAATTCACTTACAAATAGTATCAATTAGCCTGCAAGTGAGGAATTGGTGATATCCTGTTGCTCCAAAGTCTCACCAATATTACATTCATATATTTACTATGGCAACAACATATAAAAATTCGCAACCGGAAACCAAAAAAGTACAACAAATGACCCCAAAGCAATAACATACGTGCCATGAAATAATAAGAAGTAAATAACCGATCAGCAGTTTGTTATATTTCAGCAACAATATGCTCCTTCTTTCACTTTATTTCCCATAAATTGTAGCAACAACAATGAAGTAGTACGTGAAGCACGCGTTGCGCGGACATTTTTGGCTTTCCTGCGTATATAAGGCAGATAGCAATCAATTTCATTTTCGCATTTCATTATTGGCATTGGCGAAGGACTCGCTGTTTGGCGTTGTTGTTTGTGTTATTGTTGGCGTTTCTCTGCTTACTTTTTTCTTTTATTTGCCTTGCGAAAGTTCGGGTCACAAGTAAAGTTGCGTTGGTTTGACAAAATCGATAGGCGTGTAAGCACGGATGACAAACAGTCGGTGTAAATTGTATGCGTACAAGCCAAAATTAAATTGACAAATCGGCACAGGGGATAAAGTGTGTTTTACAAGTGTGTCGCGAAAGTTTATGCGAAGACAAACACGCGCACACACATATACATACAAATAAGTAGATACTTCATACTTGCAATGCTTTTATTGTTTAAGATTACTTTGCTTATTTACAGCTGCCTGTGACTGTATTTGATAAAAAAGTTAGATTGGAAGTTAATAAGAAAAAGTAATATATTGCCAATGCGGTACACAATTCCAAGAAGTTCAAGTGAATAGCAAAAGAATGGACGAAGCTATAAGCGTAAATTAATTGAGAAAATTTAAAATTTTTATTTCAAAAAGTGCTGCCACGTATTTTTAAATTTTCAAAATCGTTATCACAAAAATACAAAAGCGATACAGCAACATGAATTACAGAAAATCAAAAAATTGTAAACAAAAATTTATGAAGGTTGCCATATTTTCGAAAAAAGAAATGAATAAGTGAGTTATGAAATATATAAAAATTTAAATTTTAATATGAAATGTCTCAATAAATATTAAATGTCAAATTCTTTTTTAATACTCAAATCATGAAATCTACATCTTTCGTTTTATTAAAAAAAAAAATGTTGACACCTATTTGCAATTTATAAAGCAGCTCTCAGAACATAGTAAAACTAATGCTATTGTATGTATAGCATCAGTTGAAGAAACTCAAAAAAGTTTAAAGATAAGAATACATAATTTTAGTAAAAGTTGCCATATTTTCAAAATTGGAAATGCATAAGTAAACCATGAAATATATAATATATAATTTCAATAGCGAATATAATAGAAAAAAAATTTGTAATATTCAAATCATCAAATCTACCATAATTACGAAAAACAGTGTTGCCACTTATTTTCGGAATTCTAAAATCATTAACAGAAAAGTACTAAAAAGATGGAACAGCTGCAGTTAAAGAAAGTTTAAAAAAAATTAAAATTTCTTTAAAGTTTGCCATAGTTACAAAACTAGAAATTAATGAAAGAAATATGTTATGAAATGCACATATAAAAATATCAGTTTCCCCAGAAAATAAGTAGCGGAAGCGTTTTTTATAATGACTTCATTACACACACAATTCTGCAAACACATTTTAAGGGTTGCCACCAAACAAAATAAATATTTTTTTTTTTTTAAATACAACTACAGTTTTATTAGGCCGGAAATAAATGATGGAGAAATTATAGAGAATATCGTTTGGGAAAAACTTCTTGAGCATTTTTTGGGAGTTTCGGTAGAGATTTCTATCTTTGTTTTTGGGGCAAAAGTAACTGTTTTGAAAAAATCATTTTTTTTTAAGGGAAAAAGTATAATTTACTACTTAAGTTTATTCAATAAAAACTATCAAATTCCACTTACCATTTGCGCCACACAGAAGCAATGCCGGAAATTGTGAAATGGCACCTCGTTGTAATGCTTGTAGACCTCATAGAGCCACTCACGCAACGTCTCAATCGGTATATTGAATTTATCTATGAAGCCCAATTCGAGGAACATCGTTTGCATTAAATGTATAACATCGGCATCGCCCCACTCATACGAATCGAATGCGGGCAGCCGCAGTGCTGATTTCACCTCATCCGAGAAGTTGGTATCACAAATTTCCAGGAAACGCTTTTTCACCTCCTGATGCTTTGGTAGACTGCTTTTGCGATGTGGCGGACCCATGGGACGTTTAGAGAGGCCTGCAATGAAAGCAAAGGGAGAATGTGAGCATAGTTTGGCATGCTGAGTTAAGACTTGAGTTTAACGGTGAAAAATTTATGTAAATAAATCAAATAAAAATTTAGCAAAGTCCGTGATGAAATATCGCAAGTCAGAAAAGTAAAAATTTTCAGCATAATGGTAAAAAATTGCAAAAATCATAAACAGGAAACACAATTTGTGAGCAAGTGCCGGCTTGGCATGCTGCCTAGCTGTCCGGCTGATTAATGGCGCGTTGGTTGCCTCGGTTTGCAACAAAAAGTTGTAAAACTAAAATAAAATATAGTAATAAATAAATAAAAAAAGTTCCGAATGAAAAATGTATAAAAAGTAAAATCACACACATACAAACGAGGCCAGTAAAAAAAAGCGCGCATAAAAAGACAGACGCCGTCGGTGCAATTGACAAAGTGCCAACAATACCGGAAGTAGCATATGCTGCTATTAGTGGTGACAGCAAGGGCGGAAATTTAATTTAAATGTATCATAATGCATAGTGGATTCGGAGTCATAATAGAGAAAAAAGGTGAGCACAAAAAAGAGAGTACTCTGAAAAGCGTGAGCGCTAAGGTGCGATTAGTTGGAGCACAACAGGTATGGAGAAAGTTAAGATATCGAAATATTAAAACATTGAAAATTATTTTTAACACTCGAATCAATATATATATTTTTTGTTAAGCGTTGCCACCTATTTTCGATTTATAAGGTTGCTATTAAAAAACAAAACTTGTGAATGTTGGTCATATCATCAGATGAAAGAATTTAAGAAGTTTAGAAAAACATTTCTCTATATAAATGTATTTTATTTTACTATATACATACATATATTATTAACCATATTTCACAACTTTTATTTATAACTAGTTAGCAATATTAAAAAAAAACATGATTTTCTCATAAAAATAAGCTAACCCCAGCAGATAGGAAATGATTGTGGAGTACTTTCTAATTTTTAGTTCCATATTTTTTGTTTCACTTTAAAATGCACTCAATAATTTTAAGATTTTTTTGTTTCATAATTATAACTGTTTAAAAGAAAAATATTAGAGAGTTATTATAATATTTTTTTACTTTATAATCTGAAGATACCACTTTTTGTATTTTCTTTCATATCCTTTCTTTTATCCAATTAAAATGCACTAAAAAACTAGTATTCGCCTAATATCACAATAATATGGTCACAGAGCTCGTACAGCTTATTAAGAATCAAGCTATATAAGCTGTATAATTGAGACTCTTGGTTAAGCCACACCACACCTACAGCGTCTACGAATTTGCTTACAAACATCTCAAGATCACTCTACTTCCAAGTACAAACTTTAGAAAAATCGAAGTAGCTCAGAGAAAACTTCGTTAAGACATGCAATACCCCCTCAACAAGAAAGTTTCAACTTAACAGGTGAGTTTTGCAAACCCACACTCCTGTCTGATTTATTTAGTACGCTTGGTCTAATTAAGTGGCATTATAAATTTTTAAAGGTTAAGCGCCTGCATGTATGCTAATTTTTTATGAAAGGTGCACATACAGTCTGGAAGCTAAGTTCGCAAGTGCAAACTACTACAAGTTTTGTAAGCAATATCGTAAGCTTGTGTAATAAAGCTAATTAATATATGTATATTTGTATGGGGTTGTATTTTGTATGGATCGTGTACTACGGTATTTATGTTTGTGTGTGGGCGTAGTTTCACGCTAATAGCACTGGTTACTGCGCGCATAGTTGTTGCTACTGTTGTTGTTGTTGAGCGTGTTGCAGATTGTAAGGATTAAGCTTATTGCTGCTAATTGAAGAACTAAAAGCTTTATAAGCAGCTTAAATAGCAAAAAAGCAGAAAGCAAGGGTGCTTGTAATTATCTATTTTTATTATAATTCTAAAAAGTAGTTTTTTATGAAAAAAAGGTGTGGTAACTT